ACCCTTTCTTAGGAGGAGGAGGGCGGCTTATGTACAGTGGCCGCAACCCCCTTCACTCCAACGTCGCAAGGGTGATTAATGCCCATAACTACAGCTGTTACAGGTGTAAATGGTCACAACTGTGACAATTATAGGTAACAATAGCTATGACTCTGCTTAAAGCTCGACTTAAGACTGCTCGACCATTGCTGCTCCCACGTCGCCCCTCTGCCTGCCCTGTTCGAGTGGTGGTGGCCGGGCCGCTTAGTGGGAAGACGTCCGAGTGCTGTTGATGTATCCGAGTGGAGGTTTGGTTACATGCATCCGAACATGCTTACGGTCCAGGGACCTATCAATGATGGCGTGGGACCCTAGGTGGGCCTTAGATGCCAAGTACTTGACTCTACCAGTGGTAGGTGACCCCATCATTGAGCTCGCAGCCGCTTTAGAGGATACTAATCATGATGATGGAGCAGTTGGATCCAGACGCGGCGATGATCGTACGCGTCATCTGTGTTAGGATGTTGAAGCACTTGGCAGCTGACATGAAGACAACGGAGAACGATGTGACTGGTGAGGAGGAGCCGGTGACAGAGTGTGCGCGGAGGCTCGGACTATCGATCTGGGAGGGCAAAATTCTGTTCTCACGGACCATCGAATTGTTTTTTTGAGAGTACGCCATTAGTGTACCTTATCTTTATAGAAGGAAGTAAATGTATTGACAAAAAGCTTAAGGACATGCGAACATTCCTCAAGCCATACAACACACCCACAACCAACTACCAACTCAAAACCTACTCTCTCACAAAACGTTGTAACCCTACCACTCCTACTCCTGCACTCCGTCATTCCTCTATCTCTTGCAAAATCAGGTGTATGAGGTCGTGCACCGGTAGCACTTGGTATGTTCGATTAAACACCGTTGCGTTTTGCTGCTTCCACATAGCCTAAGCCACTGAATTGTAACTTTTATGATCAGGCGTATATAAAACTATGAAGAGCTGGCGACACGGGGGAAACCCTAGATCGGCGCTGCCACCCCCCCTTTCCACCCTCCGCTTGGCTCGCCGCCGCCGGAGGAGCGGCCGGCAAAGGCCGCGCCGGCTCCGGTGAAGGTGGTGGCGGGGCCCTCTCATCTCCCTTGTCTGCAAATTTGGCGAGGAGGCTGCCAAGGACGGCATAGGGCGGGGCCATGGCAGCGCGGCGGCTCGCGTGCGCGACACGGCGGCCCGGGGCGACGCGTGGAGGGAGGCTTGCTGCGGCGGCAGTTCGCGGCGAGTGGCTGGCTGCGGCGGCTGTGCGGGAGGCGGGCTGGCGCGCCAGTCGGGCGCACGGGCAGCGCGGTCGTCGGCCTGCGCGACGGAAGAAGGATGTGGTGCGGCTGCTCGCGTGGGTCGCGCACGGATCTGGCCTGCGCGCGACGGAGGGGAGGAGCCATGCTGCAGGGGCGGGCGGGCGTGGTGGTGAGCGCGTGTCGGGCGGCGCAAGGCTGCTTGCTCCCGTGAAGCGGTGGGCCTGCGTGACTGCATGGGCGCCGGCGTGGTTGGGCCTGCGCTCAGATCTGGCGCGTTGAGGAGGACGTCCCGGAGGCTCCGCATGGCTGTGACGGGGAGGCTGCGGATCCGGGCTCAGGTGCGCGGGATCTGGTGCTGGAAGGAGAGGGATGGCACACGAGGGTTGCGGCGGGCGTGGCCACGCAAGGGGATGCTGCGGGCGCGTCGAGGGTGCGAGGGGGCAGCCAAGTGTCCGGTAGCCTGGATCTGCCAGGTCGTCCATGGCTGGCGGCCCTGGAGGGGCACTGCTGGTGGTGACCGGCTACCGCTTCTTGGAGCAAGGAGGCTCTGGCCGCGGTCGGATACGGGATGCAGGACCCGATTTGGTCTCTGCAGGCCTGTCGTTGGGGAGGCTAGCTGGTGGCCCTGCACAGCAATGGCGTGCTCGCTGTGTGGGGGTGCGCGGTCCAATGGAGGTACGGGTCGACCTCGGCCTACTGCGCGGGAGAGTGGCTGCTCCGAGTGAAAGCCTGGCCGGTGCTGACCGGCCGGCGATGACGGCGCCCGTGGGTGTCGCTATCTTCCTTGGAGGCGTCGTCGGGGATCTCCAAGCCACTACTCTCGGATCAAGTCCTTCGGGTGAAAACCCAGATCCTGCTGCAGGGTCGGGCAGTGGCGTCGTCTTCAACGTCGTTCCCCTCTTTAGGGCGCCGTCTTGAAGACTTTGATCCCTTTGGTGCTTCCTACGACTGGACGTGCACGCTGACTTCTGTGGCAACGATGACGGCGGTGAGCAATGTCGAAGGCGTGGCCTTGGTCATGGTAGTCGGCTCTTCTTCTCCGATGTGTCCGTGGGAGTGCCTCGACTGCCTATTACTGTGAAGTCGAAGCCGCCGTGGAGGGCCGGTGGTATATGATGACGCGTGACAGGTGGTTTATTCAGTGATCCTCCGTGACGCCAACCTTGCCTAGTTTCCTTTGTAGTTCATCGTTCGTGTCAGAGCTGCGTTGTCTAGGTTGGATTGTATGGAGCATTGTGCTGTAGCTATTAGGGCTGTTGTTTTTTCTTTTTCTTTTAATCTTCGGATCTTTTGGTCCTAGGACCTTCATCACCTTGTTGTTTTCCATTGCTTCCTGCTATTATCAATGAATGCCAGCGATGCTGGATCTTTCAAAAAAAACTATGAAGAGCCCAAGCCACCGGCCTGTAAGAGCAACTCCAACAGGTCGACCCAAACGGATGGTGATTTTGTCCGTTTTTTATCCGTTTGGGTCGGCCCGGCGGACACAAACGTCCAGAGCTGTGTTTGGGTCGGCACGAGCGTCCAATGCTGGTCCGACCCATTTTGTTGACGTGCCAAAAAAATTTAAAAGCATTTAAAAAATATACATATGCATTTAATTAAACATAAAAGCCGGCCATGAAGGCCGGTGAAAGTCCACATTACATTAATTAACATAAAAAACTAAAAACTAGACGACGCGCTGCCCTAGGCGTCCTCGTCGGCGGCGGCATCTGCGTCGGGGCTGATGAGGTCGATCAGCGTCGGCGTAGCACTGGCCCAGGGGAACGCTGTGTTTCAGAGGGCGGCAATGTTGGGCTGCGCCGCCGCTGCCTGCGCCTGGCGCGCCTCCTCTTCGGCCTCGCGCTCGAGCATCTGCAGGCGCTCGCCCTCCTGGCGCTTCTCGCGAGCCGAACGCGGCGCCAGTGGTCGAGGTAGGCCGCCTCCTGCTTCTCCGTCGCCCCGAGCCAGATCGGTGGAGCGCTGACCCACTCACGCATTACTCCGGTCCAGGAGTAACGCTCGAGGGGCCCGGCTCCTCCAGCTCGGCTTTGGGCGGGGACGGCGGGGTCACCGTCGGCACGACGCTGTCGCCCGCCGCGGAGAGGGCCATGGCCTCCGCCATGGCCGCCTGAAAAGCCGCCTCATCCGCCTCCCTCCACCGCTCTCCTTAATTGCCGCCTGATAGGCGGCCTCGGCCTCCTGGTTCTCGTCGCGGACGACGAGCGGGGGCGGCGGCAGGCTGCGGTCGACGCCGCGGACGCCGCGTCGCCTCGCCTGCTCGTCCTCGAAGGCGAACCACCGAGCCCAGTTGGGCGAGTCGACGGCGTAGGGCGGTTCGTCGCGCTGCTCCGGCTTCAGCAACGCCCGCCGGCGCCGCACCTCCTCCGCATGGGCCCTTGCCGTCCGCGACGCCGGCGGCACTAGGATCCTCTCCGGATCCAAATGCCAGTCATGCGGCAGCGTCGCGTCGGGGTACGACAGAGGCACGCGGTGCTGCCAACGCTACTCGGCCCGGTGCACCGGCACACTGATGCGCTGCCTCTGCCGGGGAGCGCGCGGCGGCGCGGGGAGGGCGGGGAGGGAGGGGGAATGGCGGCGGGAGCCTTGCCCTTTCCGCTGCTGCTGATGCCGGAGAAGAAGCCCATGCTGGCGGTGGCTAGGGTTGTCGCCGACGTGGGGGCATGGGTGGCCAGATGGGGACGGGGGCAAGTGGCAGTGGATGAGGACGGCCCCGCCGCACGCCTGACTTAAAAAAGGACGACCGCCGTCGCTGATGCGTGGGTCCAAGGTGGGCGGTCGTCATAAATAATGTTGACCGTGATAGTTGGACAGCCGCCAGGTGGGGACGCGACGGACGGCGAGGAGGCGCGCGGCGTGTCCGCGCCGACGTATTCCAGGCGCAATTTTAAGCCGGAAATGGATCGGCGCGGACACGAGACGGACACGATTTGAGTTTGGGTTGGCGTGTTGGGCCTTCACTTTTGTCCGCGTCGATCCAAACAGAAACGAACGGATGGAATGGGTCGTCCCATTAAAGTTGCTCTAACTTTTACGAACACTGCACTTAAAATTTGTTAATATTTGCTACGCATTCGAAATGAAGGAGGTGAAGTCCAAGCCGGTCAGTCCAGTACCTACGCTGCTCACACCCACTGCTAAACACTAGAAACACACTGGTTAGTTGCCCGCACGTGGCAGGGCGTCCCACGCACGTGCGTGGCCCCAAGGACCATAACGCCGATCAGAGCCGCGCCCCTGGCCCTGCCCCCTGCCCTTGGGTTGACTAGTTTCTCACCGACTCGTCCGAAGTCCTCTGCGAACGGCACCAAAACTCGCAACAACACAAAACACACTTGGAAGCCTACACGCGGACAAACTTCCGCGACCAACGAAGGGCAGCAGCGGCGCTCATCAGCGTCATTCAGAAGGCAAAAAAACATGCTAGCCGCGCAGCAATTTCCCTCCCTCTTCCTCCTCCTCCTCCCTTGCTCTTCTCTAGCCCGGAGACATAAAAAATACAACTACTGAGAAAAAGAATCCCACTATCTCATGACATATGGAGGAGAGAGAAGGGCGAGCAATCCCACTACGGTCATCCACAAGACATTCCTTCCTCTCTCTCTTCCGTGTGCTCCAGACGACATCTAGCTGCTCCTCCTCCCCTCGCCCCGCTCCTCGCTCTCTCCTCCTGATCGGCGAGGATTTTTGTTGAGCAGGAGCAGCAATTGGGATCGATCCCTGGATGGATGCGGCCCAGTGGCACCAGGTAAGCTGATACAGACGAGCACCTCAAATTCAGGTTACTACAACATCGGTACGCATCTAGGGCCATGCGATGCATGCAAGATCTCCCGCCTCGGGCTGGCCGGATGGCTTCTGTTCTTGTGGATCTTGCTGCTGTGTTCTTGCCTTCTTGGTCGACTATCTTTTTACCGTGCCCTTGATCTTCACGCTCGCTTTCCCTGATGGGATATGACGATCTTGGGCGCCTTTTCTCTTCTTGGGAACCGCCATGGCCAACCTTTTGTTTCTGGCGCAGATCTATGCATGTATGGCCATCTATGTCTCTCTTCTCCCCCCTTCTCTTCTGTCCGCGTGTTGTCTTCTCCGTTGGCGTCGAGCTCAGGGCTCGGAGCTCGGGGCCTTTAATTCTCCCCTGCCTCCGCTTTTAATCCTCGAAAGGCGCATACACGGGCACGCACCGCTTTTCTTTGCCTTTCTTTCTTATCCTTTCCTCTCATTCTTTTCATCTTTTCATCTCTCTTTTCCCCTAGCTTTCTTTCCCCTTCTCTTTCCTCCGGCGCCTTGCATCAAAAGAGCAGCCATGTCTTGGATGATGTAGCAGCAGCAGCAGTACTGCCACAAGCGCAACCCTACAAACAAAGTTGAGTTTTGTGTGGTGGTGGTGGTGTGTTTCTCTCTCATCTTTTCGTCTCCTTTTCCCCCAAACCTTTTTCATTCTCCTTTTCCCCTCCCTTTAATCTCACTTTGTATCCATTTGCTTGGTTCTTTGTTGCACCATAACCATAAGAATCATCCTCACACCTCGGGCTCTCATAGTCATGTCATACCCCCATCCATTTTCCCATATACAGCATGTTCTTGGCTTATTACTAGTAGTTCTTACTTGCCCTAACATCTGGGGTTTGCCTTTGTGATATCTACTAATGAGGTGCAATATGTGTTCGTCAACAGGGGCTAGGGCTCGTGAAGCCCATGGAGGAGATGATCATGGCTGGAAACCCAAATCCTAATCCTAATTCTAATGGGAACCCGAACCCACAGCCGGCGCCGCCGTCTGGCGCAGAAGCCCAGAGGGCTCCCGTTCCTGGCCCGCCGGCAGCAGGAGCTGGCGCGGCGGCCGGGACGGGCTCCACCGAGCGGAAGGCGGCGCGGCCGCAGAAGGAGAAGGCCATCAACTGCCCGAGGTGCAACTCCACCAACACCAAGTTCTGCTACTACAACAACTACAGCCTCCAGCAGCCGCGCTACTTCTGCAAGACGTGCCGCCGCTACTGGACTGAGGGCGGCTCGCTCCGGAACGTGCCCGTCGGCGGCGGCTCACGGAAGAACAAGAGATCATCGTCCTCGGTGGTGTCGTCCGCGGCGGGCGCCGTCTCCACCTCGGCGGCCGCGTCCGGGACGGTCCCCGTCGGCGGGATGGGGGCCAAGAACCCGAAGCTGATGCACGAGGGCGCGCACGACCTCAACCTGGCGTTCCCGCACCACCACGGCCGCGTCTTGCACCCGTCCGAGTTCGCGGCGTTCCCTAGCCTGGAGAGCAGCAGCGTCTGCAACCCGGGAGGCGCCATGGCGGCCAACGGCGCGGGTGGCGGGAGGGGCATGGGCGCGTTTTCGGCGATGGAGCTGCTGAGGAGCACCGGCTGCTACGTACCGATGCCGCAGGTGCAGCTCGGGATGCCGCCGGAGTACGCGGCCGCGGGGTTCGCGCTTGGCGAGTTCCGCATGCCGCTGCAGCATCAGCAGCACCATCAACAGCAGCAGCAGCAGCAGCAACACCACCAGCAACAGCAGCAGCAGGTTCAGAACATGCTGGGGTTCTCGCTGGACACGGGAGGAGGTGGCGACGCCGGGGGATACGGCGCTGGGTTGCAGGGGGCGCAGGAGAGCGCAACGGGAAGGATGCTGTTCCCGTTCGAGGACTTGAAGCCGGGTGCGAACCCAAGTGGAGGAGGTGCAAGTGGCGGTGATCAGTTTGAGCACAGCAAAGACCAAGGCGGCGGCGGCGGTGGCCATGAGACCCTGGGGTTCTGGAATAACAGCATGATCGGGAATGGCAGCAGCAATGACGCCGGCGGTGGCGGCGGCGGCGGCGGCGGTTCGTGGTAGGATGGCAACAGCTAGCCCAGCCGCCGTACATGCATGCATGGCTCATGCACACGCGGTTGTCAGCATGTGGAGATGATAGGGATAGAGACAAGGGAGTTAATAAGCGGTGGTGGTGATTAGTGTTACATATAGCGTTTGATCTCTCTTTTGGTTGCGTTTGGTTTTTCTACTGTTCTTGGCCTTCCTTCTTAATTTCTTGGTGTTTGTTCATGTGTGTGGTGATCAGACTTGGGGGGCTAACACAGCTGAGTACACAGATTAAGTAACTATTTATCTTCTCCAATTGAATCTCTCGTTTCCAAGGGTGTTCCTTGTGTGAATTTCATATGAAGTTGTTCATGTAGAATCTGCACGGATGCACCTTCTTTTTTGTACATCGTTCGGGTTGAATACAAGTAGACTGGCATTGGCCAGACTCTTGTTTTGTCTTCGGATTTTGCATGCATGCATCGGACCATGCAGTATGTGGGTGAATGGATGTTGCAAAGGTTCATTCAATGCATGGAAGATTGGCATCATCACTCGTCAGTCAGTCAACACTCAACGCATTGCTCTACAGTCGGTTTGACACACTGTGCAGGCTGCAGAGTCCGTGCAAGAGATAATGAGATATACTAGATCGGTTTGCTGTGCTGACCTAGTAGCAGGCGTGTTTTCTTGATTTGTTCATTCACATCGTGATTCCTGATTAATCCAGGGCTTAGAACAACTTGTAATGTGTATTTTATTGTTGTTTATATTATACAAAATACATTAAAATATAGACATATTTCCCTCATCATTCGCAATATGTATTTTTTTCCTGCATACCTGTCAACACATATCTACCCCCTCCTTGTGTGCTCTTTGCTTGTAGCAGGCAGGCTACCTCTGAGATGTCGTATCTCGCCATCATCCCAAAGCCAAGAATCTTCCAGCCATGAAAAGCACTAGCGGTAGGAGGAGAAAAGCAGCGGAATGGAGAAAGAGAGAATATGTATGTATGACAAGCACCTTCACACACACACTCTCTC